CTTCTTTTTTTAGAGCTCTGAGATTCGTTTCTTAGTAGCTTTTTGTGTCTTTCGTAGTTTTTATTAATTTTGTGTTTCAGAAAATTTGTGTTTTGATGATCAGCGGAAAGAGTTGCTAGAAATATATTAAAGTTAGATCATGTTTTATATTTACTATTATGTTATTCTATTTTATTTATTGGTAACTAACCAATTTAATAACTACTGACTTAAAATGTTTTTAATTATTAAGATGATAACAGAAACTTGTATTTAAACAATATAAAATTATACAATACTTGCATTTAAAAACAGTAGATAAAATAATAATAAGATGATATAAGATTTTTATTAATTTAAAACTAAATAATCATAGTACGTATGTTTAGGTTTTGCTTAAATATGTTTAGATTATAAATATCGCCGGTTTTAAATCAATATAAAATTATTTTTTTATATCTATATTATATATTTAAAATATTATTACGTATAAACACAATTAGTACTAAAAAAGTTAGACTAATTCATTACCTAATTTATAAGGCATCACTAAAATCTACATACAGATAAATCTTGATTAGAAAAAGATTTAGATTAAGAAAAATTTTTTATACTTGTTATATTATACGTAAAATACTGTTAGATAAAAAAAAACTGAGAGAAAATAATATAATCACAGGCACAGACACTATGTACGTTGCAAATGGCAAGATCGCTCTTTCTAAAAAAGTTATTAATGTAGTAATCAGTAGTACAGATTTTCAGAATTCCTAAAATTCCTAGAATTCAAGGAATCTAAAGAATAGTAGGAAAAATCAGAATAGCAAGAATAATGAGAATAATTAGAATAAGTAGAATAATTAGAATAATTAGAATTCACATTATTTCTGTATAAGCAAAAATCTATAATATAAATGGAGGTTCCCTTCAAGAAATAAAATATAACTTAGGAGAGTTCAAAGTTTCAAGTTAAAGAAGTCAGAGTATTTAACTTGTAAAGAATTCATAACCAAATCCTGTAATTCTATAAAGAGATTCATGAAGTAATTCAGAACTCTAATCTGACATTATTACTACGAACCTAATTTACCCTGATTACTTGGACCAAGTCTTTCTATGCCTCGATCATTGCCTTACTACTATTAGGGTTAGTTGTATTAGTTGTGGTGTTCTGGTTAGAGTAGTTTAGTTAAGTTTTAGTAGAATATAGTTGTATTATCTAGATCTGACACAATTTTAAACTTTTATAATGTATATATTCTGAAAACCTGATTAGATGCATACATGCATCTTTCCCCTAATTGAACAAATATAGATGAAATACAAGTACCAAATCAGACATGGATCTAAAATATGTTAATAAGGTTTCAGAGTAGTAAGATAAAGAATAATTGAGTAAAAATTATAATAATTAAACGTGAAACTATATTAAGAAGATAAAAAACGTATAAATAAAATGAGCTATTTATTCTTTAATAGTGCTCAAAGAAATTTGACAAGTCTTTTATACTTTATTTTGAATAATCTTATATTTTAGTTATTAACTATAGCCACCTCAAGTTCTGTTTTCTTTGATACTCATAAAAAGTTTATAATGTCAAAACATAATTTTTGAGATTTTTTTACCTTAGTAAAAAATCCTAACAATCCTACAAATGCACTTGCTGTATGTAATTAGTATATAGCTAAAAACGGTGGTTTAGAGGCAGCTAAAATTAAACCTGAATGTAGTACTTCAAATCGTGAACGATTATGTCGAAATCATTTATCAAAGTGCGAAAGTTTTCTTGAAGCCAATTCTGCAGAAGAAATTGAACGAATTTTATTATTACCAGTATCTGAGGACAAAAAAAAAAGAAAGATATAGATGGTATATATATTTAAGTTTATATATATATATTGCAATTTTATTATCTTCCTTAAATATTAATATTTTTTTTAAATATTAATTTTTTATACAGATGATTATGAGGATAATGATAAAATTTTTGTACCAGTAATAAAGCAAGGACAATCCTCTACAACTTCTACAATCACACGATCAGGTTCTTCCACATCAAGTTCTAATCAATTAATAACCAAATTTTTGTGTCATTCTTTGTCATCTAATGATAAATCGTATTTTAAAAAACTTTTACTTCGAATGATTGTTTCAAATGTTTTACCATTTACTTTTGTTGAAAATGAAGAAACATTAGAATTATTTCGGTTTATTGCTCCAGGACTTGAATTACCAAAAAGAAAAGTTATGAGCGATAAAATGTTAATTAAAAGTGCATAAACATTTTGTAATGATATTATTAAAGTAGCAAGCAAGGATATAGACGGAGTAACTGCAGTGATGGATAGGTGGACGAATGTGAAGCAGGAACATATATTAGGAGTAGTATTTATAACTACACTAGGGCAGCCATTAATATAGAATGCGTATGATACAAGTATTGAACGATCTAAATCTGAAGATGTTATAAGACATATTGAAAATTTAATTAATAAAGCTAGTCTTAAAAATATTAATATTAAAGTGCTGGTTTTTGACTTAGCAGGGGAATATGCAGCTGCACGACGTCATTTGCAAAGAAAATATACTTCAAAAATATTTTTGCCTTGCATGGCACATCAGATGAATTTGCTTTTTGGAGAAATTTTTAAAGAATCTGAATTATATAAAAGAGTTTTAAAGGAAGCAATACGTCTTGTTAGTTTTTTTCGCTGATCAGTTTTTTTTACAAGAAATCTTCGTAGTGAACAAATGAGAATTTATAAAAAAACTGTTAATTTAATTGAACCCGCAAATACTAAATGGAACTCTTATTATTTTTGTTTTCATTCAATACTAAAATCACAAGCCGCATTTAAATTTATTTCAGCAAAATTTAATGATTATCATGCAAATGTAACTCAAACAAATGGTGTTTCAAATCAACCAGCCAATAATAAATCAATTACTCAAGGTGGTGACCGCAAATTACCTGATGATGTTGCTGATATAATTAATGATTCAGAATTTTGGTCAGTATTATTTAAGCTCCAAGATATATTATATCCACTTTGTGGTTTTCTAAATAAATTGCAAAAGAATATAGCACATATTCATGAAGTTCTTCATTGCTTTGCATATGCAATAAAATTATTAAGCAATCACTCAAATATTGAATTTAGCTCAAAAATGGTTACACATATAGAATCCTGTTGGAAAGAATGGGAGCAACCATTATTAATTCTTTCATTTGTATTACATTCTATTTATAAGCTATCACAGTTTCATGAGTCAGTTAGAGATCTTTCATGGACTCATATTGGGCAGTGGGTAAAGTATTACTATGAAGCTTGGTTTGAGTCTAAGCCTGTTTCAATTCTAGCTGAATTAATTAAATATAAATGAGAAACAGATCCATATGATATAGATTTTTTTAAACATTTTAAAGAAAATTTAATAGATTTCTGAGAATCAACTAGTGGTATAGGCCCTGAATTAGCAAAGGTTGCAATTCGCATTCATGGCATCTGCATTAATTCAGCCTCTGTAGAATGTTTGTAGTCATCAATGGAGCTATTGCATACAAACTTAAGAAATCGGCTAGAGATACGTACATATGTACATATATATGTACTATATTAATATGAATACAAACTAAATTTTACTATAAATTATTGAATTTGCATAAAATAGTCAAAAAAAGTCTTTGCAATGAGCCAAATTAGGAGTAATATTCTACAAGCTCGTAAAATAAAAGAGGCCAAGACATATGAATGAGAAATGCAATGCCTTTATATAGCTACACCAATTGTTTCTGAAAATGAAATTATGGAACCTGAGTTAAATGATAAAGATGTATGTTATCAAGTTAGTGATGATGAAGAAGAAAATTCTGCAAATAATAATGAAGATATAATTACCAGAGAAGAGGAGCAAAAATGGGATCAGTTAATCCAAGAATAGATAAATTTGGAAATCCAAGAAAATCAATTTGAACATCAAAACGATCAGATTTTTATGTCATCAGAATAGGACTGCGATTTTGAAGCAGAAGATCGAGAAAAACATCCTGCTGATGATATATTAGCTAAATAGGATCTGGAAACATTATTTATCTCTTCTTTAGAAGCACCTTCATTTTTAGATTCAGATTTTATTTTTACTGACGCAAAATAAGTAAATGTAAAAGTAATAATAGTGTTTGAATTTTATCATATTGTATTTTGTTTGGTATACATCTGTGCTATAAGCTCAGGTTATTTTAGTTATATATATCTTAAAGCTTAATTTATTTTCTTTTCGATTGTGAGTTTCAAGCAATCGATCACAATTTTCTAATATTAAAAGATCTATTTATATTTGGTTTTATTATTATTAATATAATAATCGATTAAAGGTCTTATAGTAACAAAAGGACTATTTGAATTTATTTTATTATTGTCAATATCAATTTGATTCATTTATTTATGCATAAATAAATTTTAAATTAGTAATTTTATTGTTGCAAATAGCTGTATAAAATATTTTTCGAGTAGATCTTATTCATATGTACAAACTAATAGCAATAGTGTGAAAGTATAAAAACTCTACCTTTTGTCTTCAATATAATAACTTAGCTAAAGTTCAACATTTAAAGTGTTTTGCTCTACTAATCTCCGATAAGTAAAAATCTATCTAAATCTCATAACTCCATATTAAAAGACCTGTGACATATCTAGAGCTCTAATTGATCCTAGTTGCTTGGATCAACGCCTCAATTGAGGCTTGCCACTATTAGAATTTAGTTAAAATAGTTTAGTTTGTATAGTTTTAGTGTAGTATTATAGTAAAACATTTCTATTCTGACCAAACTTATTTTAGAGCAATTTTTGCTTTTCACAGTGCATGTATATACTATATCCGGGTGCAAGTATATCTGGATAAAAGTCACAAGAATTTTTTTAGTTAAATATATTTGAGTTCTTTTTAAAAATCTAGATTGCCAATTATATACTTGAAGTTATATGATAGTATGTTTTTGCTATATTTTATTTTACTTAACTAAAATGAACTTATCGTTACTATTATTTTATTGGTTAATTAATATTTTTGGTTATAAGTCATATAATCTTTATTATGACTGTATGATCTATGACTAGTCATATAGGTCATACAGGTCATAACAGATTATAGTCCAACACTGTTTTTAGTAACAGCATTTAATTTCCTATAGTCAACACAAAATCTTTTCTTACCATTTTTCTTGCCTATGAGTACGACAGAGGAGGCCCAGAGACTTGAGGATTCTTGTATTAATTTATTATTCAATATTCGTTATACTTCTTCGTTAATAAACTTTTGTTCAGCTAGAGGTACTATATAGGATCGAGAACTAATAGGAGGTATATCTTCGGTATAGATGCGATGTATAACTAGATTGGTTCTTCCTGGTTAAGTAATATCCTTTGCAAAGAGGTTAGCAAATTTAAGAAGCAATTGGCAAAATTGAGCTCTATGATTTGGAGTCAGAGGTCCTATCTTTGAGGTCACTTCTTGGGTTATTGTATATACTTTATGTTTTAATAAATTTTGTTGTATAGCTAGGTTGAGGGTGTCTGTTTCTATTGGTAATTTGTCTGTATCACTAAGTAGTTTTTCATCTTGCTTAGAATTATTTAAAAATTTAAAGGTCTATTTTCAGTAAGAGAAAACACTGAACATAATCCTTGCAATTTATGATGAAAGGCTTCTAGATAATTAATTCTATTCTGAAGAGTAGTAATGAGTTGAGATTGTTGTTCTAAGGTTTGAATCTTTTCTTGAAGAATATCAATTATTTGTTCCTGTTATTCAACTTGTTGTTGTAACAAGTGAATTATTTTCTATATATCATCATTAGTAATAGATAGAATTGGTTTTGGAGTTGGTTCTTCTGGTTCTGGTTCTTGTATAGAAGAAGGATGAAGTTCATCATAACATTCTTGACAATACTGATCATATTGTGCAAGTTCAGTTTTAGCTTTGGCTATAAGACAATTTTTATAGAGTCCTACAGTTCTTTAGAAGTTTCTTTGTAGATTTTGCATTGCTCGATGTTGATCAAAATCTGGATGGCTAATATCAAAGATTCAGCGAGAATTCTTTGTAATTCATCTTCTTCGGTTAAGGTTAGTTGAATATGAGAGCTCTTATGGTGAGGTTAATTTCATTATCAGTATAGTCTTAGTTAGAATGGTTAGTTGCTAAAAGTTCGAGTGCACTAGCAATTTGTTCATTACTTTCTTCTAATTGAATCTGAGCTAAACGATAGATTCGACTTTGGTTGAGATCATAAGCATGTTCTGCATTTCTAATAGACTTGGTATAGTGTTTAACAGTACCCTAGCCATCCAGAAAAAAAAGTGGCAGTCACATGATTTCAGCCAATCAGCAAAAATCAAAACAATCGTATAAGTGTATAATTCAAAGTAATAAACTTTATTGTTAGGGTTAGAATTTGTGTTTGAATATAGCTTGGTATATACCAAAATTTAGCAAAGAATTTTTTTTGTTAGTATGCAGAAGGTAGTTTCATAAGTGAAATTTCGAGTTATTGACGATTTTTCAAAAAAAACAAAAAAGCGTGATTTTAACATTACACCTAATCTTTCTATCTAATTGGCTAGATTTCGAAAAATCACGTATCTGCCACTTTTTTTTCTGGATGGCTAGGGTACTTAGTGTTTAACTTGGGTCCACAGGTTGTAGCTAGGGTTTCATTCAACATCTTTGGCAGCTTTGTAAGTATACAAATGCTCCAAGTCACAAAACCAGATATCTTCCTTAACTATGTCCAGTTTATACATTCTGGATCTAATGAATTCTTTGCTACAGACTTGACATTTGGTCAACATTTCTCGACCATCACTATTGGTGAAGTATTTAATACTTTGGAGATCATCTCGGTCTAATTCATGATAAAAGTTAGTCCAGTAAGCTCTACAGACTAGGTTTTAGTCAACAATTTAAGTTCTTTAGGTCTTTGAGGTACTTTACATTGGCAATAATGGTGGGTTCTTCTTCAAGAGTAGTAGATTTGCCATTGATTATTTACTTCATCTGGTGAGCATCCACATCCGTATCTTTGGTTATCCAACTTGTAGATAGCAAGAGAGCAGTCAATTCTGATATGACTATATTGATTACATTGGTGATATCTATTTTGAGGACAGTTTTTATAGAGATGTTCAGATTGAAAGCAGGTTTTACAAATATTTCTCTTTAGAGCTTGGTGAAGACAGTGAGCAAAAATATGACCATACTGATGATAATGATGACATTAGTTGTGGGACAATCAGCAAAAAGATAACTAGCAGAGTTGCATCCTTGGCAAGTTTTACTAGATAATGCTTGGAGAGTTCGGCATCTGGATCTGGAGGTTTGAGTAGTTCATTAAGATTGTAAGGGTAACAGTATAAGCTTCCTTGGGAGTAAGGTATTCCTGTTCGAATTGAGCTAACTCTCTTTATCAGTAACAGTGGATTGAGCTGACAGGGGTTAGTAATATTTATAGGTAGTAAGAACATAAATTTTCTTTTTGTTCTATCAAATAGTATAAGCCTTATTCTTCCAATTGTAGCTGGCTTCAACTTTTTGTGACCAGTCATTTCCTAAGAGCAGAGAGTAAGAAGTAGCGGTTATTACTTCTATATCTAGAGGAATAGTAATTTTTTCGATTTCAACAGAAAGGTTTTTGATGATTCCTAAAGGTCTAGTAGAGGATCCTGTGGCTGATATAATCAAGCTAGTAGAGGGAGCTTCAATCTTCAAACCAAGTTCCTTGACAACTTGATGTGAGATCATGCTAATTGCAGCGCCACTATCAATAACAGCATGGTAGAGTCTGTTTCTAAGTTTAATGTTGCATTTAACAGGAGTAGCATAAGTTGGTATCTGTGTCTGATTAGGGGTGCTAGATTTTTTATTAAGGTAATTAGCTAAAGCTGTTCTAATAGATTTGTTGACTAAAAAAGTTTTGACTTGTTTATAGGTATAGTCATTAGCAGTATCTGCAGTATATACATCTCAAGGATAAGGAGTAGAGAATCGACTTTAAGATCTGTTGTTTCGATCATAGAAGGAGTGATGGTTAGAGCAATATCTATCATGAAATTGGCTTCTACTTCTGAATCTGTTATATTGATTATAATCTTGATTTTTGGATCTGTTCCGATTATGAGATCAAGATCTATTATAAGATCAATTATTTTGAGAAGAGTATCTATAGTCTTGACTAAAGGATTGATAATTTTGGGAGTTCCTTCAGCTATCCTCTCTTTTGATTCTGCAATCTCTAATAAAATGTCCTCTGTTACTATAGTAGTAACAAGTAGCATCTCGGGAGTTGTTGTTGTTGTCTCATCAGGAGGAGTTATTATTATTGTTGTTATTAGTTTCAGAGTAATAGACAGGAGTAGTAAGTTGTTGTGCAGCTAAGTTAATATTAAGCTTAGCAAGTTGTTCAGTAAGTTGTTCCATGACTTGGGTATTGCCATCGCTATTTGTATTATTTTCAGCAGCTATAACTCGTCCTGTTTCCCATTTTCATGCTTCTCTGATAGCAGCATTTAAGTTAGCAGGTTCTGCAGCTTGTATATTAACAGTATACTCGAGGTGTAGTCTTTGGATGAAAAATTAGACTAACAGAGCTGCAGGAAGACGATTAGCAGGGTCTTCTACTCAATGATATAATTATTTAAATCAACTAACATAAGTGTTGACTATGTCTGTTCCTTGTTTAATTTCAAAAAGCTGGTTTTGCCAAGTTGCTTTTTGTCAAGGGGTACTGAATTTTTCTTTAAACAAGTGAGTAAAACTCACAATGTCAGTTCCCTGAACATTAGTTCTATGTTGAGCACTATGATAACAATTAGAGGCATTGGCAAGGCTAGTGAACCATTCTTGGGCATTGTCTTTCATATATATATTAGCTAATTCCAACTGTC